GGAGAAAAAAAAACCAAACCCACTGCTATCGAGTCAGGTCTGACTCATAGCGACCCCTCCTTGAGTTTCCGAGGCAATATCACTACAGAAGTAGATTGCCTAACCTTCCTTCCAGGGAGTGGCTGGTGGGTTTGAGCCGCCAGCCTTTTGGTTAGCAGTCAGATGCTTTAGGCACTGCGCCACCAGAGCTCCCTAGCCAATGAACCTGGAGGCTTTTCTTCACTCAGAGAGCTCCTGGCTGCTGAGGCTAACAAATCCAACGTCAACAAGTGAAAAGGCACAGTCCCAATGTTACCAAACCACATTGGCAGGCCATTGATTCAGCCCTTGCCCTGGCCGCACACATGGAATGGACCCCAGTGCTGGCTGTGCATGCTCCTCATGGGAGGGAGGCTGTGTGAGCAGCATATTTGTAACCTGGTATCAGTGCCACTGTGCCCGAGGCGGTCTGACCACAGTGACAAGGAAAAGCCTCTTGTCTCTCAGCAGGAAGTGCGGCACGGACTGAGTGCAGTGCCGAGGGCCTCACGGAAACGCCAGGCGGGTGGGCAGTAGAAGTGCTGGCATCTTGGAGTGGATGAGGCTTTGTTACCTGGCAAGCGAGAGGCACGTCCTCTGGGCAAGAAGGCCCTCAGGGAAGAGGCTGTGTGTGAGCAGAGTGCATGCCTGTGGCCTTCATCCGGCCCTTGTCCTAGGTCAGCACGGTTGTTGTCTGCAGTCATCTGACTTCTAGAAAAACTGCTGCCCCTCAGCACCGCCCCTGGGGCAGCTCTGTGTGGTCTGCTGGTGGTCTTAGGCATTGCCCTGTTCTGAACCACACTGAGTTGCTGGTGTCCTTGTCCCAGGCCTGTATTCCTCACCTGCAGGATCTTGCCATGACCCGTGTGGCTGGGTGGGCTGGTTCCGCAGGCTCCTTCCTGGCCCTGCTATGCCCTCCTGAGTGAGCCCTGCACAGTGTGATGGGCATCAGCCTGTCTTTGGATTTGTGCTGTTCTCTGATCCACAGAGCAGAGCTTGTTATTAAATTCACTTGTTTCAGTGTCTGTATGTAAACATTTAACGTGGCAGAAATGGCATGCAACAAACAGCATGCCGTGTGTACCTGGACAAGGAAACCCTTGGTGCCTGGCCCTCACGATGCGCTTCTGATCTCGTTGGTCTGGGGCAGGGCTGGGACATCAGGAGTTTCCAGAACTCGGCGGGATGGTGTTGTGGTGATGTGGATACAACTCCAAAATGTAAAACCCGTTGAATTACACATCCAAAATGGGTCACCAGTATGGTATGAAATGGTGCCTGAACAAACTTAAAAAAGAAAAAAACCTGGGCTCCCAAGTGGTTGTGAGGGGCAGCTTCCATGACGTGGCTGATGGGGCGGGTTCCACCCCCATTCAAGTTAGTCTTTTAGCATTGCCCTGTCCCCTGGGTCATACTTCGTCCTCGTCCATGACCACTATACCATTTTGAACATTTACTTCCATCGTGTCATCCCTGCACTTGAAGCCATAGACGTGCACCAGACCCCTTGTTTATCATCTTTTTTTTTTTCCTAAATTTTTATTATGATTTGGGTGAAAGTTTATAGAGCAAATTCATTTTCCATACAGCATTTTGTCTCATGACAAACTACACTTTGTCTCATGACATTGACTTTAATCTCCCGTAATGCAACAGCTCTCCTCCCACTTCCTCCCTATAGCTACCTCTTCCCTGTGTCCTTCCCTCCATGCACTCCTGCCCCCCGAGCTGTCTCCCTGTGCATACACAGCCCTTCTATTCTCCCATGATTGTTGTCTCCAAGGAGTCTATCTACCTAATGTAAATGTTCAGCTCATATGCCTGTCTTTTTGGCTGGAAGCCACAGGAGTGGGTTCAATTCCAGACCTGAAGGGCAGCTAGGGGCCATAGTCTTAGGGGTTCCACTAGGCTCTACCAGACCAGCAAACCTAGTCCCTTTTTTTTTTTTTTTATGGTTTTGAGTTTTGTTCCACATTGTTGTCCCACTCTACTCAGGGTCTCCTACATAGATTGCCCTTTGAGTGGTTGACATTGGTAGCCAGGCACCATCTAAGTCTTCTTGTCTCATAGTCGTATAGGCTTAGGATCACATGGTGTACCAGTTGCTAGGACCAATTGCTTCCATGCGTCTTCAGGTTTCTTCATTCTTTGCTGTGGATGAGGGGAGACCCATCATTGCATCTAGATGGCAGCTTGCAGGCTTTTAAGATCCCAGTCGCTACTTGCTGAAGTAGGATGTAGAACAGTGTTTTTGTGTAGTACGTTGTGCCTCTTGAGCTTGAAGTCATCCTCTGGGACTACCACATGTTTCTTCTTATATTAGGTTTTTGTGAAGCTGGGTGATAGGAGTGAGCTTGGTCGCAGGCAGAATAGCCCCACGACTTCATGTGGCACCGAGGCTGTAGGGAGGCTGGCTGTTAGACAAGAGGAAAGACCAGTGTGGTTGGGAAGCGGACGCAGTAGTGAACCATCACAGCATCCTGGCCGTGTGTGTGTTTAATGCACAGCAGCACAACACTGCCAAAAAGATGGCCTCACCTGCCTGTAGCCTCGGCCGGTGGCAGGAAGGCAGGGGGTGGTGCAGCACGTCCTTCCTGTTCCCCGCGTCCACTCTACCGCACTGGCAAGAGCTTCAGGTCTGCCAGCTCTGTCCTGTCCCTAACGCCTCCACCCTCTCCCCGTTTTGTGGTGTCCATTTCAAAGAGACCTGCACCCTGGAGTTAATGTACATCACAGCCAGCTCCCTGGGCATTTCACAGAAACAGCTGAGGGCAGAGCCACCCCAAGCCGTCCCCCAGCCCCTCCATAGCTTTCAGCTGTGCACATGTCGTGGCCTCTGCCCCACCCCAGAAGACATGTCTGTACCTGCCGCATCTGGAATTGACCACCCGTTTGTGTCCTATTCTCACTGCCCGTTTGCAGCTTGATTTTTCTTAGCCCGGCTTTCACTCTCTCCTGCTCCCCTCTCTTTTGAGGCCGGTAGGATCTGACCACAGCTGGTGGCTTTCCCTTAGCCCTTGTTTTCCTGACAGCATGTGTTGTCACTGCACTCCTGGTGTCTCTCCTGCTTCTCGGCCTATCCCTCCTCTCTGGCATCCCTGGCCCCTTTCCTCTGCTGTTAGGGTCTCTTCTCACCACTCTCTAGGCTTGGTTGGTCTTGTCCAATCTCATGACATCCAGTGATGTGGTAGTTAATGTCGTGTGTCAACTTGTCTGGCCCTGGTTGTGCATGGGCACCTGGATGTAGTTATTCCCCATGATGACACTACCAGCTCCCCGGTGGCATCAGCTGTGAGCAGCTGAGTGGCTTGTCTGCTTCCAGAATATACGAAGGCGCTTTGAGGAAGGTCTTGAGCTTTCTGGCACATTTGGGTCCTGCTGAGTCTTCATCTCAGTGGCCTGCTGTGTTGTTTGCCGGTTTGGGCCTGTTTCTGGACTTGAACTAGTGGCCTGCCATGCTGCTTGATAATTTGGGATGGTGCTGTTTTATTTGTCGACCTTGGGTTTGTCAGCCTCAGCAGCCAAATGCTGCCTGAATGAAGAGACACCTCTAGCTCCAGGGGACAGGGAGCAAGAGGCAGAGCTGAAGCCCAAGGTTAAGGGGCTTTTACCCACCCCTAGAGCTGGCACTTTGAACTCGGACTTCTGCCCTCCCGAACTGTAAGAGAGTAGATCGCTGTTTGTTAAAGCCGCCCATCTGTGGTGTTTCTGTTGAGCAGCACTGGAGAACCCAAACGAGTGACATCACTCTTCAGGGGCTTCTCTTTCTGGGGCTCCCCCTCAGCTCCAGCCAGAGCAGGTCACCTTCGGAGTCACCTTCAAGTCCTTCACCCCCTTCGCGTTGTCTGCTCCTTCCTGTCGTCTTTGCTCTTGACACCTCTTTGCTGTTGTCCCTGTCCTGACTGCTGGCCTCCGGCTTCACTAACCTTCCTGAAGCTGTGCTCTTGAAGCACTGCCTAGAAACTCTGTCTCGGAAGACGGAAGACTCGGACACTCCCTGTGACTGCCTGGCCCTCAGGGCCCCGGCCACCCCCCCCCATTTCAGCCTGCTGGCCCGGTGCTCTGTTGGGGTTTGTACCCTTTGCTCCAGGCACACTGTGCCTTCTGGGTTCCCCACTGTGTGCAATTGACGGCGTGGAATGCCCCGTCCCACCTGCACAGGTCTGCATCCTCCTCTGTGCAGCCAGCTCTGAGACCTGGGGCGGTACCGACCTCTCTGAGGTCCAGCCGACCTGCGGGCCCAGGGCTTCTGTGTGGCTCCCCAGCCACCTTAGTGTTGCAATAGGGGGGTGGGATAGGGACTCAGAACTCCGACAGATAGAATGGCGCTGTGCTTAAATCACAAGTGAACGCCCAGTGTAAGTGGCACCTGAGCCCTGGGCAGACAGCCAGGGCCAAGGCATGTGGCTGCAAGGAGGCCACTGCTGGGACAGCTGACACCACCCACAGGTGGGCAGCAGTGGGGCCAGGGCTGGGTCAGGAGGTGGAGAGCCCCCTCCCACCGGGAATGCCGGAGCATAGACTGGCTGAACCTTCAGGATGGCTGTAGGGGCGGGAACACAGGGGTCCCTCTGTTAGTGACCAGCCTGGACTTCCTCAATAGCAGACACCCCACGGGTCTGGAAAAACGGGGCAGGGCGGGGGGCACAGGTCTGATCTGACTGTGAGGTTTGAGTCCAGCTAGTCAGAAACAGGATTTTCCAAAATGATGCCTGACTATTCACTTCCAGGTAGCTTCGGTGTAGACTTTAAGTGATTTTCATTCTCGTCAGGTGAATTGTAAGTGGCTGCACTTGTTGGTCCCTGGGTGCATCTGCCAGCAGTGCAGGGGTTTAAAATCTTGGCTGCACACCAAGTGCAGCCCTCAGTCAGTCTGTTTCATTGTGTTTCCTCAGTATTCCAGGGGAAATTGCTGCATAAGTGCTGGTGTTTTAATGTGGAGTGAGTGACTGTTATTAACAGTAATCTCTTTGTTTCCACAGAGGTTGCAGAACTTGAAGCTAATCTACCTTGTAAGTATAGTGGCCCCGGTCACACATTAAGTACTGTAAAACAATTGCATGGGGAAAGGTTGTTTTGTGTTTTGATAACCTTATGTAGCAAAAAATCTGCTTTTCATCTGTGTTAGGCATGAATTTTAACTTTATCCAGAAAGTAGCGGAATCCTTTTTCAGGCTCAGACAAGGAGGTGCCACGTCCTTTCTGTAAGTCCCCAGCAGGGCCTCCCTCCTGAGGGTGGCGGAGGTGAGCCAAGTTGCCTTCCGTCCGTCTCCCACCCGCGCTCTGCATCAAGTCCTTTTTGGAGCGGAAGGGTATGTAGGCCACTAGCCGTGATCCTGTGTTTGCAGTGGGTGCACCAGCTACTTGGCCCCCAGGTCTTCTCACTCTGCTGGTCACTCCTGCATAGCCGCCAAGCCACTGCCCAGTCATCGCTCCTGAGCAGGCCGGCTCGGCAGACTCACTGCTTGGGCAGTTCTCTGTGTAACATGTGTAAAAGTAGGATGTGTATGAACTGTCTGGTAACGGTCTCCTGGTTTGGGCGAGTGCTACATAGAACGCAGGTTCTGAGGTGCTGGCCCATTGGGTGGGTATGAGAGGGCCCGTTCCTGCCTCCTCTCGAGTGGAAAAGAGAATTGTGGTCTCCACCCTCAAAACTAACCAAACCCACTGCCATGGAGTCGATCCTGACCCACAGCGCCCCAGTGAACAGAGTAGAACTGCCCCAGGGGGTTTCTAAGGCTATAAATCTTCACCGGAGCAGATTGCCTCATCTTTTTCCCACGGAGCAGCTGGTAGAGTTGAACCACTGATGTTTTGGTTAGCAGTCATATGCTTTAACCACTGTGCCACCAGCGTGCCTTCACAGTTCTTTAGTGGTTATGGAGTCCATTTCGTAGGTAAGAGGCAGCAGTTTGAAAAACAAACAATCACAGAGAAAAATACCAGCCCGTGTCCTGTGTGGTTGGTGAGTATGTGGCATTTTTCAGAACTTCTCTGACACATGGTATTTATCAGCACAGTAGGTTCTGATGTAAAATGTCTCTTACTCTGGGACTCAGTGAGAATGTCTTGAAAATGTGCCGGACTCCCAGTTTTCTTCCCCCAGAACCCGGAGGCCCTTTGCCTGCTGTTCAAGGGCATCTTTCTGCAGCCTGTGGCACCCATGAGGGCCACGCTCAGTCCCTGGCGCTTCCCTGTGTCCTGTCTCGGGGCCCCATGGGCACCGGTTTATGACGTTACGAGAAGTGGGGCAGGGCACGCAGAAAATGTGTGTGGACTGGGTTCAGAGGCAGGCCCAGCTTCTGTTGATAGCCTGTCAGAGCTGTGCGTGTCCTGAGCCTCTCTGCGCCTTCAGGTTGTCTTGGAATCAAGGACCTTGGGCCCGTGGTCTCTAAGGCCATTTCCAAGTCTAAATTTAAATTCTCCTATTTTTTTGTTTTTTTTTTAGGATTTTATTATGGTAAAATATATGTACCAAAAATACTCTATTTTAAAATAACCCCTGTTTACGGTTATAACTGCATGTAACAGTGTTCGCCAGTTCGTCATTTTCCATGTGCGCAGTTCAGTCAGGCCGGCTGCGTCCGTCACGTTGTGTCACTGTCATCAGTGAGAAATCCCCATCGTTACAGAGCTCTGCAGACATTTTCAGTGGGCTCGTAAGACGTAAAGTCAGTAGGTGACCCAGGGAGTTGAGCAGACGTGTCCGAGTTTACAGACAAACACAGCAGGTTCCCAGGTGCATCCGTCCAGGGTGCAGATGCCATGGGCATGTACAACTCTTTTACATCATGTGTAGGAAGGAGGCGGGTGTGGGGTATAGCCAGCATCCCCTGTCTGCAGCTGGTAGCTTTTCTCCCAGTAGGGACACTTTGCCCTGACCCACGCACCTTCCTGCTTGAGGGTCAAGTGGGCACAGAACACTGCCATCCCGGTCAGCAGGGCACCATTTCACCAACAGAACAAGCTGAGCTAGTGGTTAGCCTGTGGAGACTAAAACACGTGACTCATCAAAGCGAAGCCTCGGATGTCAGGTGACTCTTAGCTGGCACACTTCTTGGGGACTTGCATTCAGTATGGTGTCCTAAAGGACTGGGGTGAGGCAATTAAACTCAGAGTTGGGCCTGGGTTTGTTCCTTGTCCATCCATATGCTTAGTTAGCCTTGACTTACGTCTATTAACCCCAAGGGGTGGGGTTTCTTTTCCACAAAGCAGCTTAACTACTGAATTGTTGGAAAGCTCTGTTTTGAGTGACCACATTCAGAGATGGAAGGAAAACCTCTCAATTTGGAACTCACTGGTGAAAGACTGCCCAAGGAGGGGTCGCTGTGAGTCAGGTCTGACTCGACAGCACGTAACAGCAACAACAGTGAAAGACTATGGAGAAGGAAATGCCTGACAAGGATCCCTGGTGGCAGTGTTGACACGGGGTGTGGCCGTTACCACATAGGGAGGGGCCGGGCTGCCCAGCCCCTCACCACAGAAGCCTCTCCGCATGTAGCCTGGTGCTGGCGCTCACACCCACCTGACGTGCTTCTCTTCTGCAGGTACCTGTAAGGTGCATTTTCCTGATCCGGACAAGCTACACTGCTTTCAGCTAACTGTGACCCCAGGTAATGGCCTCACACGCTCAGGTGTTAAAGTGACCCAAACTGCAGGTGTTCAGGGCTGCCCAGATTGTCCTCTTGTCCGGTCCTCCGATTTTCTAAGAGCTGTGACATGAGTGACTCCCCACGTGAGGTCAGCACTGTGACACAAGTGACTGCCTGCGTGAAGTCGGCACTTGTGCTTTGCCGTCACAGGAAGCGTAGTCACAGCCTCTGAGGTGTGTGTGCACGCCAGTACCGGGGAACCTTTCACAGTGGAAGTTCATGACCCTGGGACTGCGGGCACACAGGGGTTAGAAGTCCTGGCCTCACCCCGAGCAGCACTGTGGCCCTGTTCAGCTGCTCCTGGCTCACAGGCAGTTGAGGGCTAAGTAGATAGTGTGTGGGACACAGGCCCAGTGTCCGACGTGGCGGCGGGTAGAGCTGAGCGGCTGTTGCCGTTTGCACCGACAAGCTGGCCTGAGGGTGGTAACATTTCTCCTTGACCAAACTGGGACAGCACGATGGAGGCCTTGGGTTTGTCCAGTTAGCAGGCGGCTCCTAGAGGTGCGGACGTCAGCACTGCCCACAGCCCACCTGGGCCTCTGCTTGCGGGGGGCAGAGCAGCCTCTTCACACTCATGCCAGCCAGTTGGAGATGCTGTGGGCAGGAGTTGAGGGAAAACACGGCAATGAGGGGGACTGAGGGAAGTCGGAGCTGCTGTGGGCTGGGCGCACATGGGGAGGGAGGGAGGGGGTCTCGAGGAGGAGCTCGAGGGCATGATTTGTTTGGGGGATTAAAAGGAGTGAGAAGCTGAGGTCGATGAGGCGCTAGCCAATCACAGAGTGAGCAGACTCTTGAGGTGGGAAGTGGTGACGAGCCCAGGGTAAGGTCCTGGTCGCGTCTCAGGCGGGCTGGGTTTTCTGTGTTACAGTAACAGGAGTCCCAGAGTCAAAATGTGCCTGAAAACTTTTTAAAATCCATTTGTGGCTACGTAGTGAGTCAGCAGAGGGTTCTGGGACAAATTCCGTCTGGTCCCTTCCCTCTGGCCTGGGAGAACACTGGGGACAGCGGGTAGCAGAGCGTCCTCCTTAGGGACAGGTATTCTACACTCCTGATGTTTGTAGATAACTCATGCCCAGGCTTCAGCTTTGAAATGACAGCGGCTGGAAGCATTCTTTGCCACTTTGCTTAAATGCTGTCTTTTTTAACGTGGGGTGTTGAGCACACTGGAACACTTCCTGGAGACTTCTTTTTTTTTTTCTTTTTAATTTTGTTGTGATTTGGGTGAACGTTTTACAAGATCAAATTCATCTTCCATACAGCAGCTCACATACACTTTGTCTCATGACATTGACTGTAATCTCCCACAATGCAACAGCTCCCCCAACCCCCGCTTCCTCCCCAGAGTTACCTCTTCCCAGTGTCCTTCCCTCCCATGCGCTCCTGCCCCCCGAGCTGTCTCCCTGCGCACACACAGCCCTTCTGTTCTTCCTGGAGACTTCTTTAGCTTAGTGTATAACGTGACAAACACAGTTTGCTGTACCGTCAGGTCTTGCAGTGGTGGTGGTTCACAGTGGTCTGTTGACTGAGCCGCAGTCCCAGCAGTTGTGGATGTGTCGGAAGGACACCTCCTCCCTTGGCCTAGCAGTGCCTTTTCCAGCCTGTCGGATTCTGTTGCCCCGAGCCTCCGTCCCCCGCCCCCGAGCTGTGTGGTTGCTCTTGGTCAGACCTTTGCCCAGTGTTCTCGGCTTGTTGCTGTCCTGTAGGATTGAGTTTGTGGTGAATCTACCCTCTGGACAAATGAGTTATGTTTTACTGAATCGCAGGAAGCTTTTGATCATTGAGAGGATGTGGGTGACAGCGTCTTTGGTGTTGCTTCTCTTACTGTTCCTGCAGACAGAGCCCAGTTGTTTGTTACAGCTGGGGACGTCACTGTCCCGTCAGGTGGAAAGAAGCTTGTGCTTTGGGGCCTGAGACTGTGCGCTCAGCACCGGGACGGGTGGGTGCTCAGCAGGCTTTTCAGATACTCTGTATTTGCCCTTATTTTGTGGTGGCAGTAAATCGGAAAGTGGTTACGTTCCTGCCCTTTGTTACCAAGGGAAAGATGGCAGAGATCTGCCCACCCTGAAAACAGGCCTAATATCTGGGCTTTTTGAAAAATCCATATGCGGTCATGCTGCTCTTAGTGTTAAAGACAATTCTAGAATTAGGACTGTATGATGAAGTTTTCACAATGTATGAAGCAAATGGTAATGAAGCCGGCTTATTATAGCAGGGAGCCCTGGTGGCTCAGTGGTTAAGCAGTCAGCTGCTTGGTGAAAGAAGGGTCTGTGGTCCGAACACACCAGGTGCCGTGCGGGAAAGGTGAGGCGGTCTGCTCCCGTGAAGGGGACAGCCTTGGAGGCCTGTGGGGCAGTTCTACTCCGTTACACAGGGTCCCCGTGGGTCAGAAGTGACCCAGCAGCACCTAACAGCAGCAGCGTAAGTGTTGAAATCCTGTCCTGTGACTCCTTCAGTTTTGTTCTCCTTTTTTCACAATGAGTTTGGCTATTTTAGATCCTTTGTTTTTCCATGTATTTTTCAGCATCAGTTTGTCAGATGGCATTTAAAAAAATAAAACCTGCTGGGGTTTTTCTCCGAGACTGTGTTGAATCTACTGTAGATCAGTTTGGGAGAAGTGCCATCCTGAAAACATGGCATCTTCTGATCCATGAATATAGCTTATGTCTCCACTTTGCATTTTTTATTGCTGGAAACACAGTGGATTTTTGTTTAGTGACCTGAACTCATTTTAATTACGGCAGTGGTTTTTCTATGTGAGTGATCGTACACCTGTGAATAAAGATGATTTCGTTTCTTCCTTTCAGTCTATAGCCTTGCTTTGCCTTATTTTAGTGTCCAAAACTCAGTGCAGTGGTGAACAGAAGCGGTGGGGGTAGGCCCCCCTGCCTTGTTTCTGGTCCTGGGGGGACGCGTCCATCTCTGAGCAGTAAGTGTGTAGCTGCAGGGTTTCTGTGATGCTCTTAGTCAGGTTGAGAAGTTTTTCATCTTCCACCGTTCCCAGGAGCGTTGATCATGAATGGATGTTGAGTTTTGTCGAGTGCTTTTTCTGCGTTCACTGAGGTGACCATGTGTATTCTTTCTCAGTCAGTCAATAAAGTAAATTACATTTTTTATCTTTTAAAATGTTGAGCTAACTCTGCATTCTTGAGCTGAACCGTCACGTGTTCATCTTGATGTATTACCCACTTTAATGTATTGTTCTACTTGCCACTCTGACATTTTGTTAAGAATTTCTATTTCTGTTCATAAAAGATGTTAATCTGTGGTTATCTTTTCTCCTAATGTGTTTGTCTGGTCCGGTGCCAGGGTAGTGCTGGTCCCAGAAGGAACTGGGAAGTGTTCTCTTCTAGTCTGGAAGAATATGTGTTGAATTAGTATTAATTCTCTCAGAAATTATAGAATTTCACCAGTAAAGCCACATTTTGTTGTTTTGTTCTTACGTGTTTTTGGTGGTGGTGTAATATTTTTAAGTACAGATACAATTTTTTAAGGAATTCACTGATATTTTCCACATTTTCATATTTATTGGTATACAGTTGTTCTTAATATATTCATATTACCCTTTTAAATTCTGTAGGGTTTGTGTTGATGTCCGTTCTTTAATTACTTTTTTTCGTCATTTATGTTTTCCTTTTTCTTGATTTGGTTAGCTTATTTTTGTGTGCCATTGAGTCGATTCTGACTCATAGTGACCCTGTGACAGTAGCGCTTCATAGGGTCTCCCAGGCAGCCCAAACCACACCCACAGCCTTGGAGTCGATTCCGACCCACAGCGCCCCTAGAGGACAGAGGGGAACTGCCCACAGGGGCTCCAAGGCTGTAACTCTTTACAGAAGCACACTGCCTCATCTTTCTCCCACAGAACAGCTGATTGGTTCCAAATGCTGACCTTTTGATGAGCAGCCAAATGTCTTAACCACTGCACCACCAGAGCTTCTAAACAACCTAGTTGCTTCAGAACCTTGGAGCTTCAGATACAGTGCCTTCAGCTTATTGGGAATGTCTGCCTTCTCCCTGATTGGCAGGTCCAGGTCTCAGTGTCAAACCAGTCGGCCAAAGCCTTCCTTCCCTTTTCATTTCTTCTGATATGGACCCCTCTGACAACCGTCTCACCCTGGAGTTATAATTCCTAGTCAGGGTAACAGAGCTGGTCACCTGGTGGACAGTCAGATAGGTGAGGCGTGGAGCCAATCGCCTGGTGGAAGGAGACGCCATGGCCATTGCTCCTTGGCGCTCCCTTTACCTGCTCCTCAAGTGGGTGACACGTTCCTTCATAGTAGTCATGGATTGAAGTCTGAGGTCACTACCTGAATTTCAAGCAGCCTGCCATTGGCACTGTGGTTTATGTGCCCTCAGAACAGTCCAGCACAACCCAGATGACTTATTTATAGTGCCTTGCTTAGCCCGTCATGGAGATGGGTGTACAGTAGGCAAAGCACACCATCCCAGGATACCTGGATTCCAGGATGCTTCACTGACCAGCTGCCCCCAGAGTTCTTTTGTCCTCTGGGGGGTCTCCTTGCTTCTAGGAGTGTGTTAGGCCTTGGTCTCTGGAGAAGCAGAACCAGTAAAGCTTAGAGAGAGAGAGAAAAAATTACCTTTGGAAAATGGCTTACACAGCTATAGAAGCTGACGAGTCCTACGTTACTGGATCAGAAATCAAACTGGAGCCTTTGTCTGACTCACGCAACTGCAAGGGCTGACAAGCTTAAGGTTGGCAGGCAGTATACCAGCTATTGACTTCAACAAATGATGAATCTAAGATCTCTAGGCCGAATGGTAGGTTGTTCACTCATGGTGAGTGGTAGGCAGCACAACAGAATCCTGATCCACTGAAGAGTCTGTCTTTTTCCCAGTTGTTGTTGTTGTTAGGTGTCGTCGAGTCATTTCCGACTCATAGTGACCCCATGCACAGCAGAACGAAACACTGCTCGATCCCGCACCAGCTCCATGATCCTTGC